TGTGCCTCAGTCTCCCCAAGCCTCTGGCCAGGGCGCCTCGGCCGTGGGGACCCCGCGGGGCACCTTTCGGCCTCTCAGAGGGGACGGCCGCGTGCGCCCGAGATCTGCTGAGGCAGTTTTGTTTTTGCTTTTCGAAAGCTCTGTAGCCCCTCGGTTCTCCGGTGGACCGCGGCGCTTTTCCCTCAGTGACGAGAGCAGCGGGGACCCGGGCCCCAGGCGGCTGTTTTCTGCGTCACGTGGCCGCGGGCTCGCGGGCCGGAGCAGGAAACACCGGGGCCCCATTTCAGCTGACACACGGAGGGGGTGGCGTCGCCTTCCTCATTTTTTAAAAAATCCAGGTGACGTTCACGAGCTGTGCGATTTATTCAAAAACCAGCAAATGGGGGTCGGGGATTTAGCTCGGTGGTTCCACCGCCTGCCTCGCAAGGCCAAGGTCCCGAGTTCGACCCCCGGTACTGGAAATCAAAAACAAAACAAAAAGCAGAAGCAACAATTGAGCTGTGAGTGCAGTCTCGGGGTCGCAGAAAGACCACAAGTGTGAAATTCCAGCCCCTTCCCACCCGCTCCTAGGAGACGCTGTCCCCTTTCCCCGTCACCCCCCTCCGGCCCCCGGACACCACGAGTCCACTTCCTGGGTCTGTGGGTTTTCCTGTTCTCCACTTTTCCTACTAGTGAAGTCGCACACTCTGTGTCCTCCTGTGTCACTCGGCACCACGTCCTCAAGGGTCACCCACACTGCAGGAGTCGGAACTGAGCTCCTTTTCACGGATGCGTAATATTCCAGTCCCTGGGTGGGTCCTAGGGTAGCCTGCGCTCTCAGTTGTGCGTGAGATGGACATGGTGTGGAAGCCGGTTTTACAACGAATGCTTCAAACGGGTGCCACTCAGAACCCGTTCCGTGGAAGTCGTTTTTTATTTATCTTGGCTCGCTCTTCCATTTTCGCCTGCAGGATGTGAAGTCTGCTCGCGGCGTGCATTTTCTGATCACGACTGAAATCTGAGTGTTTGCAGTGGGATCCTTTGCACGGACCGTGTGAGCAGGGACAGAACCACGGGGAGGCGCACCCTGTAGAGCCGTGATCAGAACACATGTGCGCGGAGGGCCGTGGTCCTGACGGCGCCCGGGCCAGGCTGTGCGCAGCGAACCCCGCAGCTGGCCGTTTCCAGAAGGGGTCGGGCTGAAGCCTTCGTGCCAAGGACACAGGGACTCGCACCGGATTCCGGCCCCACGGTTCCCGCCTTCAGACTCCAACCTCGGTGCTCTAACTTCCGCCGGCATTGGGTCTTTTCCAGCCTTGGCTACTGTGCATCTCCATAGAAACCCAGTCGCCTTTACCCCGTTGATCGCCAGTAAAAGTCAGCGCCCCGGACCGGCCAGCACCTGTGTCAGTGGCCCCGGCCCCGGTGGCCCCGGCCCCGGTGGCCCCGGCCCCGCTTTCGCTGTCCGTGTCCTCTCTCCTAGTGTATTTTCTTCTCAGGCCTGCGTCAGGAGCCTGACTGCAGGGTTCTCCCGCAGAGCTCGAAGGCCCCGGAGCGGTATTTCTTCCCCGCCTTCCGAGTGGACTCTGTTCGGAGCAGTGTTGTACAGATTAAAAAGGAACTTTTTCGTTTAAAAGTAGGAGGTTCTCATACACTCCCCTCCCTCCCTTCCCTGCGGGGCTCTGCTTTGCTTAGCAACTGGAAGCTGCGAGGCTTAGGGAGCAGCCGAGGA